TCATCACAAGAGCGCAAGACCCAACAGCCTGAGTCGAATCCCTGGACTCCATGGCTGGAAAGAAAACTGACTCCTGAAAGTTGTCCTCTGACCTCTACACACATGTCACCTGATACATGCACAAGGTACTCACATACACACTTACATCACACACACAATCATGCACACACACTCTTACACAATCATTAACACACTCATGCACACACTCACACACTTATACACACACTTACATCACACACACAATCATGCACACACACTCTTATGCAATCATGCACACACTCATGCACACACTCACACACTTATACACACACTTACATCACACACATAATCATGCACACACTCACAGACATGCACACATATCACACACACAATCGTGCACACAAACACTCTCACACACTGACACACACTCTCACACACTTACGCACACACACAAATACACACACACACACACTAAATAAAATCTTTTAAAAAAGGAAGAAAATGTAGAGTAGATGAAGCACGGATTTATTGCTGCAGTGAACATGGCCGCAGGAAGACGCTGAGCCTGGGGACATTTCAGCAACATCCTCCAAAACTGAAAAGTAAAGAGAACAAAGACTGGAAACCTCCTGAGTGTCCAAGCTCTACAAAATGTGTCGAATGAACTTGTGAAAGGAAGGGAAGAACTATTTGGGAAAAAAAAAGATGTTTCTCAGACTGTATTAGGTACCAAGAAAAAACTCTGAAAGAAGCCAGAGGTGAAAACATCTACCAAGGAGCCAGGCTAAATCTTCCACCCAGCTCCTTTGCAGACACCTTGCCAACAAGGAGAGACTGGGGTGGAGTGTTTAAATGTCCAGAGAGAACAAATCCACCAACCTAGAACTCTGGACCCCAGGAAACGGCCTTCCAAAAGGGATGGAGAAATAAAAACTTAGATCAACAAAAATGGTGGAAATTTATCACTAGTAGACTCTGCAAGAAACATTTAGAAAAAGTGTCTGAGGCCAGGGAGACAGTTCATTTGGTAACGTGCTTCCACTCAAGCAAGAGGACCTGCGTTTGGACCCCCAGGCACCATGCTTCGGAGTCGGGGTGAGGCAACAAACTTCACATCTGTAACCCAGTTCTAGGAGGCAGACACAGGAGCATCCTTTTAGTTAGCTCACTGGCCAGCCTGCCTAGCCACTCAGTGCTCCCTAGAGTCAGCGGGAGAACCTGTCTAAAACAAAACAAAACCAAACCAAACCAAACCAAACCAAACCAAACAAAACAAAACAAAACAAACAAAAAACCAAGATGGCGAGCCACTGAGGAATCACATGATGTTGACCTCTGGTATTCTTTCCCCTCTCTCTCTCCACACACATGCATGCATACACACACACACACACACACACACACACACACACACGAACATTCCACACACACACAATCACATTTTAAAAGAAGTTTGTTTAAAAAAAAAAAAAGAAAAGAAAAAACCCACAATGGTGTATGTCAGAAACTTAACTCTACATTGCTGAAACGAAGAGCCACTGAAGAAGGACACCCCAAGGTCAAAGTTTTCATTGTGTTGTTTCATTTTTGTCTATTGACTAGCTTTTGTTTACTGAGGTAGAGTCTTGCTGTGTAGTCCAGGCTGACCTTGAACTCATGATCCTCATTCATTTGCCTCCTGAGTGCTGGGGTTACAAGTGCGTGCTATCACACCTGGTTTCTAATTTATTTTTTATTTTTTTAGTTTTTTTGATAGTGTGAGACAGGGTCTCTCTGTGTAGCCCTGGCTGTTCTGGACCTCGCTGGCTTCAAACTCAGAGATCCACCTGCCTCTGTATGTGGTCATGCATATTTATAATACATGTAAACACTGTATGTATGTGCATGCTTATCAATAAATGCAGTGCATGATAATGGAACAAGATACAGGAGGAGAGAATTTTTTTTTACATAGACAGGCTCTCTCTACATAGCCCTGGCTGTCCTAGAACGTACCGTGCAGACCAGGCTTGCCTCAAACTCACAGAGATCTGCCTGTCTCTGCCTCCTGAGTGCTGGGATTAAAGGTATTTGCCACCATACCCAGCTTTTTTTTTTTTTTTTTAAACTTACTACATTTTATTATAGCTCAGAGGCTGGCTTTAATTTCCCCACACTCCTGTGTAACAAGGCACTTCATTGTCTACAAGATGGCATAGTGTCATTTGTGAGGACGCTGGGATTCAGTAGGGATGTACTTTGCAGATTCCAGGGCAACCACTAGCCAAAGTTAAAGAAAACACTAAAGGTGCTTTGCTAAGAGGGGAGAGAAAACAGAGGAGCAGAACATGCTCGAACTTAGAGGGGAGAAGAACACGGAAAACTAGAAAAAGAAATGGCATTTTCAAAACTCAACCCCATTCATGATAAAAACAAAACCAAGCAACTACGAAAAACTCACTATCAGTAGGGACCAGGGAGACAGCTCAGTGGTTAAGAGAACTGGCTGCTCTTCCAGAGGACCCGGGTTCAATTCCCAGCACCCACATGATGGCTCACAACTGCCTGTAACTCCAGTTCTAGGGCATGACCTCTTCTGACCGCCATGGGCACCAGGTATTTATGTGGTCCACAGACATATATGTGTGTAAAATACTCACTCACAGAGAAAAGTCTAAAAAAAAAATAAAATAAACATAACATACAAATCCCTCCTAAAATGCAATGATAAGAAAGCGACTCAAGATCGGGGAGATGGCTCAGTGGTTAAGACACTTGCCACCGTGACTCCCGGAAGTTGTTCTCTGACCTCCACACTCACATGGTGCACACAGCTTCTCGTGAATCACACACACACACACACACACACACACACACACACACACACGCACATTAAAAAATGGGCCAAATACCTTAGCAGACATTAAAGAAAACACACAGCTGGCAAACAGGTTTGTATGTCATCAGGAAAATGACGATTAAAATATCAACCCCAGAGTGGGATCCCACTGTCCACCAAGGCCGGAACACAAACACCACCAAGTACGAACAACAGGGACTCTGGTCCATAGTAAGTGGGAACACACAGTGGTGGAGTCACGTTAGAGACAGTTTTTCAGACGTTTACATCCCTTTATCATGTGATTCAGCCATTTCATGCCTTATTACCTATAGGATTCGAAATCACACGTACATGCACACACACACACACCAAACTCATATGATGGTTGTGGAAGCTTTACTCATGATTGTCAAGACTTAGAAGCAGCGAGGATACTCTTCAGCAGTTAACAAAGATGTGCTGTGGTACATCCAGACAACGGAACATCATTCAGCTCTAGAGAGAACCGAGTTTTGAAGCCATAGAAAGACATACAGGAAGCCTAATATGTGTTCAGTGAATGAAGCTGCTCTGAGGAGACCACCTACTGTGTGGATCTAATTACGTCAGCATCAGGCTTAGGAGCTGAGTGCCAGCAGTTTTTATTTCATCATTTCTTTTTTTAAGACAGCCTTAAAAAAATGTATAGCCAACATTGGCCTCAGATTTGCTATGTAGATGAGACTGGCCCTTAAGCTGAGTCCTGAGTGGTGGAGTTCCAGGCCTGTGTAACCTCATCGAATTTGGGCTGTGCTGGGGATCAAACCCAAGGCTTTGTGCACGCTCAGCAAGCACTCTGCCTCCTGAGCTACAAGCCCTACTTTGTAAGCTTTCTCATTTCATCTGCTCTTGGTGCTACTATCTCAACCTTGAGTTTTTTTGCTTAATCAAGGACAGAAACCAGGAGGAAGCAAGAATACCATCCAAATGAGGCTTTACTGGGGCGTGTGCTCCTGCATGCTTGGTACAAGCATAGAGCTCTCGAGCTGGTTCTTAAGGATGCAGAGAGCAAAGCTCTCTAGACAAGAAGGCAAGCGGGACCCCAGGATTTCTCACACAGCTTGACCGTTCTTCAGTGAAGGCCATTGATCTTGTCCTTGACATGACAGTCTGGGCGTGTGCATTGTTTTGAGTCTGCGTCTAGCTCACAAAAGATGGCGGAAGTGCTTACAACTGTTACCTCAGAAAGGTCATAATATATTGGTCAAGTTCAGACAAATTGCCTATGCAAGTATTGCCAGAAAGCATGGGGGGGAGGGGAGGCAACGGCTCCTGTATGTGGTCACTTACATCTCTGAAGACAGCTTACATCCTAGAGACAAATCTTGACCAGATGTTAGGCCATCCTACTCAGTCTCAATATGACATGGTGAGTGAAGAGGAAAATCCACAGAGGCAGTGATATCTGTGGCTGCCAGGAGTTAGGAGGAAAAGAGGGGCTAACAGGCAGAGCCCGGAAGATTTTAGGGCAGGGAAAATTCTCTGTATCATCTATAATGATGGGTGTGTGTGTGTGTGTGTGTGTGTGTGTGTGTGTAAACCACTGTACATCTGTCCAGATTCACAGGGTGTACAATGGCGAGGGTGAACCCTATGTCATGATGAACCTTCGGTGCAGACAATGTGTGATGTAAGTTCAGCAGCCTAAACAAGTACGTTGCTCTGCTGGTTAATGTTAATGGGGAACTCCCAGACACATGCAAGGGCAAGGGAGCTATGGGAAACCATTGTGCCTGCCTCAATTGTATTGTGAACCCCAAAATTCTACAAACAAGGTTTTAAACTTATGTAAGTGGGGGGGGCAGGCATACTGGTACATGCCTTTAATCTCAGCTCTGGTAGGGGTGGGAATGGCAGAGGCAAGTGGACTGCTGTGAGTTCAAGGCCAGCCTGGTCTATATATCGAGTCCCAGGACAGCCAAAGTTGCACAGTGAGATCTTGTCTCAAACAAACAAACAAACAAACACCATACATATATGTGAAAAGTGAATACATGTTGACTGTCTCGAAGCTCCGCTTTTGAAAGTATACCTTTTCCAGTAGTAGAGAAGACGTAGGGGAAATGTCGTGTGCCTGTCCAATCGAAGGTTATGAGTGAAGGTAACACGGTGAGCTTATGAGCTGTATTAACCTGTCGTTGTGTCTGTCCCCTCTCTGCAGTCACTCCAACTTTGCCCAGGACAGTACGAGATACTCCCCGCACCTGTTGCCAAGAGTGCTTCCAGGTAACTATAAGCCCATCAAGCTACTTTGGATCTCACACGAGACCTCATATTTGCATATGTGTTTATGTACCGATCCTGGTGGTTTTCAAAACCTCACCATGAACCTCATATCCAGATTGACATTTTAAAGTATTTAATGAGAGATGAGCAATAAATTAACAAAGATATCTTCACTTAAAAAATAGATTTAGAAAACCATTTTTAATTAATTAATTAATTAATTTATTTATTTTCTACATATAGGAGCTTCGTATTTCGTTCTGCGGTTCAAAGATTCCCACCGAACTATTTCACACCTGTAAGTAAAATGGAGAGCGTTAGTGCAAAACGGACTTGATGCTTACTCCTGATGTATTATCATTTTGCTCACATAATAGTAAGTGATGACTGAATGATTAAGGCAGTTAATACCAGTTATACATGTTAGCTCCATTCTACATAACTGCGACAAAAATACCTGCCCAAAGCAACTTAGGTGAGGGGAGGGTTTAATTTCAGCTCATAATGTCAGAAGCTTGAGCGCATCGTGGTGGGGAAGGCATGGCGGAATTCATGGTGGTGGAAGCATGCGACCCTGGCTTGTTCACATCACGGTCACATTCACAGAACGTACGGTGCCAAGCGTGAACCCTAATGTCATTACGGACCTTGGGTGCAGAAATAGCGGGCCAGAACCAGAAGTGGGTGCAAGCTTCAAAGGTCCGCCCCTAGGGACCTGCTTCGGCCAGCCATGCCTTACCTCCTAAAGGCTCCATGGCCTTCAAAGTAAAGGCACAAGCTGGGGACTGGGCATCTAATTCACGAGCCTGTGAGGGACATTGACTTTCGAGCCCTAATAGTCTGGTTCTGGGCCCTCAAGACTCACGGCCGTCTCAGAACACAAAATGAATTTAGTCTACCTCCAACCTGTCCCGACCCCGTTATCAGTCTCAGCAATCCGAACACCATTCAAAGATCCAAAGTCTTTTTGGATACTCAAGGCAAACTCTTAGCTGTGAGCCCCAGTAAAGTAAAAACACAAGTTTATGTGTTCTCAGTGTTCAATGGCACAGAGTAAAAGAGTCCCTCTCCGAAGGGATGAGTGGGGACACAAAAAGGAAAAATGAGACCGAAGCGAGACCCACAGCCCGCAGAACAAACATACTGGGCATGTGGTGGAACCGTCTGGGCTCTAACCGGTCAGAGTCCGCATTCGCACAGCTTTGCCCTTTGCAGCCTGTGACCCTCGTGCAGCTCTGCTGGGTACCCACACTTTTCCTTGGCAGACATCTTGTGTTCTTGGCATCTCTAGCATTCTGGTGTCTCCACTACAGCTTAGGCTTCACTTCCACAGCTTTCTGCACAGCCCTGTCAGGGGCTACCTGTGGTGGTATTGTGTTCCCCAAAATATTGTGCACGCTAATAAACTTATCTGGGGTCAGAGAAGAGAACAGCCACAATATTAAACATAGAAGATAGGCAGTGGTAGTACACGCCTTTAATCCTAGCATTCCAAGGGCAGAAATCCTTCTGAATCTCTGTGAGTTCAAGGCCACATTGGAAACATCCAGGCCTGGTGACACACACCTTTAATCCCAGGGAGTGATGGCAGAAAGCAGAAAGCTATATAAGGCGTGAGGACCAGGAACTAGAAGCATTTGGCTGGTTAAGCTTTTCGGCTTTTGAGCAACACATTTCAGCTGAGATTCATTCTGGATGAAGACTGAGAGGCTTCCAGTCTAAGGGAACAGTATCAGCTGAGGAATTGGCGAGGTGAGGTGGCTGTGGCTTGTTCTGCTTCTCTAATCTTCTAGCATTCACCCCAATACCTGGCTCCAGGTTTGTTTTTATTAATAAGACCTATTAAGATTCATGCTACAGCTACCTGCAGGGAACACAACCTGGTTACGCATTGCCCGGCCTCCCAGGCTTTTCTCTGGAACCTTGGTGCAAGCCTTGCCGACCCATTGCTTTTGCAGTCTGCATGCCCACAAAACCAGAGCCATACAGATAACACCAAGCTTTTCTACCAGCTCTAGATGGACTATTGCTGCCCTGGCCTCCTAGAATCTGTGTGGCTAAACCTGGAAGAACATTTCCCTTTGTACCCATGTCCAGCAAGGCACTCCGGCTCTTTTTAAACGGGAAGTCTTTTGAATGCATTTTTAGTTTTGCATCCTGGCTCTTTCAATAAACGGGGTCTTGCCCTCAAGGTATCTTTCCTATTGTCCCAGTGCGAAGTGCACGGTTTCTCCTAAATGTCTCCCATCTCTCTAACCGCTGCTGCTTTGTCTGTAGTTCTTGCTAGCCTACAACTTTAACTGTATTCATGCTTCTTTTTTCATCATGCTGCACGTTTTCCAAATCCCTCTGCTCATCTCTTCACCCTCTCTTACTGTAAATCTAGCAAAAAGCAGCCAGCAGCAACCATGCCATAGCCTGACTGCTGTTTGGAATTTCTTCTTCCAAATTAATTGGTCCATTTCTTTTTAATTTGTTCTCACTTCAATTTTCAGGACATGGGAAGGACACGAGCCATTTTTAAAATATTAATTTTTGTTTGGTCAAAACGTAACCCAAATGACCGCAGTCTGATTCCTGACAGATTCTCGTTTCCTTCTGAGACCCGTCTACTGTATGCATGTCTGTCACATTCTAGTGTTTCCAACTCTCACCGGAACGGCCCATCATGCTCTGCGCACAAATTCTAGGGGGTCTATAGCCTGCAGGTCCAAGTTCCCACACGTTGATTTTACGAACCAATCCCCAAAGCCTGGGAACTACAGGGCCTGCTTCACCTCAGCAATGATTCCAACTCTCAGTGCTGATTTTTTGGGGGGGAGAGTGCTTGTTGTTGTTGTTTTACTTTTTTAAAAAATATTTTTAGACATATTTATTTTATGTGTGTGAGTGTTTTGCCTGCATGTGTGTGTGCATGCATCATGTGCATGCCTGTTGCCCGCAGAGGTCAGAAGAGGACACTGGATCCTCTGGGATTGGAGCTATAGATGATTGTGGGCTACCAGGTGGGTGCTGGGAACCAAATTCTCCAAAAGAGTGGAGGACCTGAGCCATCTCTCCAGCCCATGTTGTTTTTCCTTGAGACAGGATCTTATTATGTAGTCTGGCTGGCTTGAAACTGTGTTAGACCGGGCTCTCTCTGAGCTAACAGGGACCCACCTGCCCCTGTCTCCCAAGTGCTGGACCTAAAGGTGTGCAGCTCCACTCTAGTACCGATTTTTCTGTATTAGCTACTTTTCACATTGCAGTGACCAAGACAACTTAAGGGAGCCCACAGTTTCAGAGGGGCTTCAGTTCATCATGACAGGGACAGCGCATTCATGGAAGTGGCTCCGTCAGTGGCTTGTGGGAGTAGGATTGGGTAATGGGGGGTCTCCACATGGCACAGGCCGGAAAGCAGAGGACTAGCCTAGAGCCGTGAGCTAGTATGACCTCTAAAGACCTGCCCCTCTCTGATCCACTCACTAACCAGGACCCACCTAAAGGTTCCATAGCCTCTAAAATGGTGCCACAAGCTGGGAACCGAGCACCCAACACATGAGGGTGCCCCCCTGCAGGAGACATTTCCAGTTCAAACACTAACAACGTATTTGAAGTAGACATCTGCGAATTTCATTGTGAATCTCATTCATAAAAAGTTATAGAATTAGATGTCCATCTCTTTAAATATGTATTCTTACACACACACACACAATGTAATTTACTGTATGGCACTGTGGATTTAACTCAATGGTACCGCACTTGCCAGGCATATGAAAGGGCCTAGGCTGAATCATCAGTACCTGAAAAAGAAAGAAAGAAGGAAAGAAGAGAGAAAGAAAGATTGACTGATTACTGTGTAATTTAGTGACTTTAATTAATAACAATGCACTATACTGTTGGAAATCATCAATAAAATAGACTTTGTTTTCATACAAAAATGATAGCTAGGAGGTAATGCATTTATGAATGATTAATTTGTTTTTAAACAAGACTTTATTTTTTATTTACTGTGTTTGTGTTTACCCATGGAGGCCAGAAGAGGGTGTCAGATTCCAGAAGTGGGGTTCCAGCTGGTTGTGAGCTGCCTGATGTTGGTGCTGAGACTGGAACTCAGGTCCTCTGGGAGAGCAATAACGGATCTTCACAGCTGAGCCATATCTGTAGCCATTCTAACAATGATTATACAATGCCAATAGTACATTTACCCGTGTAAAAAAAACTAGTCTGGGGAAAACTAATCAAATGTGATTTCTTAAAATAGTTTTATTCTTACCGAAAATAATACGTGAGTCAAATGTCAAATGTCAGTTGATGCCACAGAGCATAACAGCAGGCCCTTTCTCTGTCTCCCTCCTTCTATATCCACTTCCTTGAGGGTGATCATCTTTAATTATCATAGCTACTTCTTCTGGTATTTTCATCCATATTTCTTATACAACTAGTTTTTAAAAATTTAGGCACGATCTCTCAGTTCTCTCTGTATGGAGTATGATCCTGTAGCTCTCTCAACCCACCCCTCCCCCATACACACATAGCATTTGATACATTTTGATTTTGCTTCCTGTCAAGCTATATACTTCTAGAACTTTTTATTCTCTTGACATCAGTAACTGCTTTAATTTGATTTAGTTTGTTAAGAACTCCAGCTTCACAAGACAAAACAAACAACAAAACAACAAGAAATTCTTCCCAGAAACACTCAAAGGCATCCGATAATTTTTTCAGTTGCTTTTATGTTTTTCTCCTCTGGAGAGGCATCCCCGTCCCACCCACAACGTTCTGTTGTCTTCTTGTAGTCTAAACTCATGCTTTCTAGCCTCATGCATGGTCTTTCTGGAACATTCCTTCATCGTCACCTTGGCTATGTCTTGCTGCATGCCACCATCTTGGTAGAACACACTGCTTCCCCTCCTTCTCAACTTGAAGGTGGCTCCTTTTTGGAGGCTTCAGATCTTCTAAAATGCGTCGTGGAGACACAATGTCCCCAGCTCTGTAGTAAAATAGCACAAGACACTCGACTAACATTCTTTGCAAGTATTCTGGAATGTTTCTTGTGTGGAGGTCCTTGCCCTGGTCTCTTTTCAGACACGACTTTATCCATTCCATCTTCTCAATAAAATCATTTTGGTGACTTGGAACATCCTGTCCTTCAGAAAAGGGGAAAGAATACTTTCAGGAAAAATGTTCACAGGCAAAGAATTAGCCTGGGGCTGTGATTCATGTCTCTCCTGATCACACATTCCTGGAGCAGCTGTGGGTTTGGTTTAGACCCATAAACTTGTAAGCTGCCGAGAGCAGAGTCCTTTGATCCCGACA